GATGCTTTTATATAAAGTAATCCACCAGATAAAAGCGATGTTTCTAGTCTTCCAGGAGAAACCGTGTTAGTGATTTGATTGATTGATCAGATCCAGCTCCGAAACTCGTTCAATCGTCTGGTTCTGGCGAAAGTGCTTTGGAAAGATCCGCACGCCGTGTTTGATTAGCGCTGACGTGTCACCATGGCCTGTTCTCTCTCCCACAGTTCATCTGAAACGCCATTTCATGTTCCGGAACCACTTGTGTCTGGTGTTCGAGATGCTGTCCTATAACCTGTACGACCTGCTGAGGAACACCAACTTCCGCGGCGTGTCGCTGAACCTGACGCGCAAGTTCGCCCAGCAGCTGTGCACCGCGCTGCTGTTCCTGGCCACGCCGGAGCTGAGCATCATCCACTGCGACCTCAAGCCCGAGAACATCCTGCTCTGCAACCCCAAGAGATCCGCCATCAAGATCGTGGACTTCGGCAGCTCCTGCCAGCTGGGCCAGCGGGTGAGGCTCGGCGCCCGCAACACTCCAGCTCACGAGTCAAATTCAAATTTCGATTCCTCGTATCGATTCTTACCTGTGTGACTTTAAACCATTCAAGCTCGAGACGACTCGCGTGCTGTTTTCTGTCATTCATTCAATTGGTTCTTCACTGAATGTAAACAACACTGGCCCAGAAGCACTTCCTGTTTCAGTTTTTTAACACTACATAAAAGCTGGGATAAAATACAACCAACAGAACATATAAAACTGAATCAAAAAGTTAAACAAACATCTTTAAGATGTTTTCTTTACATGTGAAATAAAGAAAACAGTTACAAACTGAAACAGGAAGTGCTTCTGGACCAGTGTTGTTTACATCTTGTGAAATGGTCTATACCTGTAATGTATATTTGATGTATACACTGCAGTGTTATTTTACATTTGATTACAGTTCCTGACCCTGAAAATCTTAAAACACTGTTTGTTTCAGATCTTTGTTCAGTTGTGTCTATTTAATAATGCTTGAAGTGTACATTAGTTCGGCTAGTTGTTCTTCTGTGGTGTTTGTAAAGCAAACGCTGCGTGTGTAAGTGTTCATCAGCTGCAGTTGCATGTTTAGCAATAAAAGTAATTATCAAAGGTTGTTGGAATCGAAATGAGGAATCGATTAGCAGAAACAAAATCCGATTAGACACTCTCGGTCCTTCACTGTCTGAGTGTGTTGGGGATTTGACCCTTCCAGCCTGAAAGCGTGTTGATTTGTGGAGCATGTGTGCGTTTGGCGGCGCCTCAGTGACGTGTCTCTCGTGTGTCCTCAGATATACCAGTACATCCAGAGTCGCTTCTACCGCTCGCCGGAGGTGCTGCTGGGGATGCCGTACGATCTGGCCATCGACATGTGGTCTCTGGGCTGCATACTGGTGGAGATGCACACGGGAGAGCCCCTGTTCAGCGGCGCCAACGAGGTGAGCGCTCCTCTGCGCACAGGGAACCGGTCCTCATTTACTCACTCCAGCTGGATCAAACCCGTGTGAGCTCTTCTGCTGAACACAACGGATGAGATCTTGAAGAAGGTCAGGCAGTTGATGGACCCATTGACTTCCAGATCACAATCTCAATTTGTCTTACAAAAGAGGACAACGAAATGACATGCAGTCCTAATCAATCTCCCACTTTACAAACTATTATCCTATGTGCAAAATACACAAACATTCTCCTTTTATAACACAATTTGTCCAATACGTGAGAATGGGAAACGGAATCTGTGTGTATAAATACACCTTTAACAGCAATATTAGCATATGGTGATTTATAAGCACATGACTATAAGTAGGGAAAGCTGTAGCTGGAAGTCAGTGGGGGTATCATCCGTGTTCAGGGAAACATGCCCACAGGTTTGAAACGACCTCAGCGTGAGGAAATGATGTGCAGTAGATCTGTGTGTTCAGTCTTAAAGTGGCGGCAGCCTGATAAACCTGCGGCTGTGTGTGTGTGTGTGTGTGTGTCGGTGATGTCACTCATGCAACAGAAGACCGAGTCTCTCGCCGCGCGACTGAATCGCGTCAGTAGCTGGATAAGGTTAATCGGGTCGCAACTAAGTTATCATGATAGCTAGCAACCACTTGCTCGTTGTTTTAAAGCTTAGACGCTTTAGTTATGTAACTTCTGTAGGGAATAAGACCATCTCTTAAAACTAGTGCCTTTTATTAGTAGTCCTCTGTTTTTACAGTGTGAAATTTTTTTTGTTTACATTAGTGAACCATAGTAGTTTGCTTATCTTTATTTATAGCAGATGGTCTCGAACGCAACACAGGACGATGCGTAGGTCATCCGTTACCCTTCAAATTGCACAAACTGAAATTGCGCCCTGTGGAACTCCCATTTATTACAAAAAAAAAGTGTCTACGCCCGCGCGAGGGTTTTTTCAGGCAATTTGAAACACGAAAAATAAATATTGTGCACAACTGCAATGGAAACAGTTTTTGCGCATTTACAGTCACCTGACGTAGACGGCGCGCCGTGTTTGCACAGAAGCCAATCTGTAATGGAAGCTAAAGCTATAGGACTTCTTGGATACGATCGTGTTGCGATAGTGTTTTCCAGCATCATTTGAAAGTTCGACCAATGGAAACTGATTAATCTATATTCAACTTATATTAAAGGGATAGTTCACTTTGAAATTAATTTTTGTTATGTTTTATCTTCCCTCAAGGGCATCCCAGATGTAGGTGTCTTTGTTTCCACAGTATTTTCAATTTATATATTTTTAGGTCAAACCGTAAGTCATATAATGCAGACATGGGGGGGTCCACCTCAAAGAGCAGCACAGAGAAGTCCAGAGTAAACATGATTTAATGACTCGTAAATGTAAGTACACAGTGATGGCGTAAGACACGAAACGAGCGGTTTGTGTGAGAAAAACGAACAGTTTTATATCGTTTTTACCTCGTGTAACCACAGCCACGTCCAACTGATCTGACGGCACGGGCGCTTCGGTCTGCACATGCGCCGGAAGTGATCTCTCGCGTGTGTACGTCACTCATTGTTTACACAGAGATTTCAGAAGTGTTATCCTTCACTGTGAAGATCTAAACATATTTAGATATACAGGAAATTGCAATGGAAGATGATTTCGATATATCAACAGACAACGTTGATTTTTTTCGTAACCGCGCAAGAGATCACTTCCGGTGCTTTCCGACGCATGTGCAGACCGAAGCGCCTGTGCCGTCAGATCAGTTGGATGTGGCTGTGGTTACACGAGGTAAAAACGATTCTGTTGGTTTTCTCACACAAAACGCTCGTTTCGTGCCTTAGGCCATCAGTGTGTACTTACATTTACGAGTCATTAAATCATGTTTACTCTGGACTTCTCTGTGCTGCTCTTTGAGGTGGACCCAGGGTGAACTCCATAAACTTCCATTATATGACTGATAGACAAGAACGGTTTGACCCAAAAATATCAATATTGAAAATACTGTGGAAACAAAGACCCCTACATCTGGGATGCCCTTGAGGTAAGATAAAACATATCAAAAATTAATTTCAAAGTGAACTATCCCTTTAAGGTGATTATTCAATCTCTATACCTGAATACTAGTGTTAGACCTATCTGGATCACTTAAAGCACTGTTTGCTTGATCTGGCTCTTTGTTCTTTTGTATTTATTTGTGAATGCTTATAATAACCAGGATGGTATTGTGGGTTTCTGTGGACGTTAATATAGTTATAAAAACAACAAAGCAATTTTGAGACCCTTCTGTGTATTGTTTTATTTAGTCTTATGATTGTGGGCGGAGCTTGGCCTTTGTTGTACATAGTAAATGCCCATAAAATGTTTAATAAATAATCACCACATAAAAAGCAACAAAAGTAATTCTGTACTGTTTTAGTGGCTGGGCAAGTAGAGATCAGTGAAGTCCTTCACACTGACCGTGACTCGTTGTCTTGCGCTTTTTGATGGCAGGTCGACCAAATGAATAAAATCGTGGAGGTTCTGGGCGTCCCTCCCAGTCACATCCTGGAGCAGGCTCCCAAAGCCCGGAAGTTCTTCGAGAAGATGACTGACAGCTCGTGGTGTGCGAAGAAGACCAAAGATGGCAAACGGGTGCGTCTCTCTTACTCTCGCTCCTGTGTCAGGTGTGCTGTTCATAGTCCGTCCATTGCCCTGTTTTCACCCAGTCCAGGTTCAGTCGACTGCAAGCCTGCGCATTTACTCTAGGGTTAGTCAATGAAGACTGTCGTAGTTTCACCATGCTGCATAATGGTTACGTTTATAATAGAGTTTTAATTCTAAAATCAATTGTTGTCATTTGAGAAATGTATATTTGCAGTTCATCAGAATTATTGCCCTTTCATATACATTGATTGATTGATTGATTAATACTTTATTTATCCTGAGGGAAATTCAGGTATCCAGTAACGTACAAAAACAAAACATACATAAAAATGTACATACATTAAAACCTATTAAAATAAAAATTAAAATTAAATTAAAAATACAGTTAAAAATACAAGCACAAATCTAGAGAATGTCTGGTGTTGTCTCATAGGTTTATTTGACCTAACGTAGTTTCCTGATTTCTTCCGTTGGCTATTGGTCATAAATTAACCGATTCTCTATAAGACGTTTCGGTGAAATTTCTGATAATTCTAAATTAATGACAAAAAAAAGACTATTTATTGTCACATAGAACTGCGTTTGTGCATTTATTAATAGAGTGGAGATTGATGTTTGTAATTATTACAGAAGGCTCGATCGCCGTTTCAGTCCCAGAACCCAGCGCAGGAACTCTGACACGCTCGTATGAGCAGAACGTCTCAGACGGAGACCGCGGCGCTCCAGCTTACATCATCTGTGTTTGATGTTTTCAGATCGTCTTCCTCAGTGTAGAGAGAGCGCGGCGCATGTTGCCAGATTACAGATATTAAGTAAAACATCGGGTAGAAATAACGTGTCCTCTTAACAGAGAAGCTCTGATTGTGGGATTTAAAGTCATGAAATCTGGCAACCGCATGCATGAAAGCTCGTAGCGGCGTGTTTAAAACGGTCTAATGCAAAAACAGAGGGGTTTTAGTAATGCTTTTATTTTTTAACTATATTTTAGTCTCGTCTTCTTTCGTCAGCGTTTTTGCATGTTGATATAGTCACAGGTATCGTTTAATGACGTTGGTGTTGTCTCGTTATCGTCTCGTCTTAGTCATGGGAGAAAAGGTCGTTGACATATTTTTTGGCCTGATTTCGCTAAAGGGGTGGTATAGTGCTCTTTTCACAGGATGTACAATACGTCTCTGGTGTCCCCAGTGTGTGTGTGTGTGAAGTCTTAGCTCAAAGTACCCCACAGATATTTTATATAACATGTTAGAATTGTCACTTTTTGAGGATGAGCAAAAACGCACTGTTTTTGTGTGTGTCCCTTTAAATGCAAATGAGCTGCTGCTCCCGGTGCAGGGGGCGGAGCTTCAACAGCTTGTTCTTATCAGCTTGAATACGCACTGACAATTTCAAAAACTTTCAGCCTTTTTTGTTCAAACTGGAGTCAGAAAGATGGAGAGACTCAAGAAGTGACAACATGTAGAGCAACAGGACATTTCTGAATGGTTAGTTGATGTAGCTTATGTGTAGTTATCTTTTCACTGATTAGCATATTCTGTCATCATAATCTATAAATCGTGTTCCCGGGGGCGGGGTTTATGTAAATGTTAGGGTTGGTGATGTCACTCACCCGGGAGGGAGCCAGCCGTGTGTTGTGGTCCAGATCTGTAAGAGTAAATGTCTCCCTTGGCTCTGAGCTTTGAGCATCAGCAACATTACACACTAACTAAAGTTAGAACAGCGAAACTATCAGGAACACTTCTATTCCTGTTCCTGTCAGCAGCTCTGTGTGATAGTAAAGGGATAGTTCACCCAAAACTGAAAGTTAGCCCATGGTTTATTGTCCCTCCACCTATCGACGAACACAGAGTTATATTAAACGTGTCCTGGCTCTTCCGAGCTTTATAATGGGCGTGATTGGCTGTCTGTCTGGAAGTCATCTTTGTGTGAACTGACGTGTAACGCGCTGCTCTCTCCCATGCGCAGTATAAGCCCGCGGGCTCCCGGAAGCTGCACAGTGTTCTGGGCGTGGAGGCGGGCGGCCCGGGCGGGCGGAGAGCCGGAGAGTCGGGACACGCCGTCGCAGATTACCTGAAGTTCAAAGACCTGATCCTGCGGATGCTGGACTACGACCCGAAGACCCGCATCCAGCCCTACTACGCGCTGCAGCACAGCTTCTTCAAGAAGACTGCGGACGAGGGCACCAACACCAGCAGCAGTGTGTCCACGAGCCCGGCGCTGGAGCAGTCGCAGTCGTCCGGCACCACGTCCAGCACCTCCTCCAGCTCAGGTCTCACACACACACACACACACACACAGCAGCAGTGTGTCCACAAGCCCAGCGCTGGAGCAGTCGCAGTCGTCCTTTTTCGTTCATTTTCATTAAAGGTTGTAACCTAGCACTGTCAGACTGTAACCTATAGTGCCCGTCCAGGGTTAGGGTTTGGGTTAGGGTTATAAATTTCTGGGGGGGGGTTAAATAGCTTTTAAATACGTGCGCGTTATACTTTCACTTTCGAAATAAGCGTCAATTGCTTGAATGGACAAAAAAACAACTCGCTGATAATAAAACTTTTATTTATAGACAGAACTTTTATTAGCATGACGAACGAATAAAATATAGACAGAACTTTTATTAGCATAACGAACGAATAAAAATAACCCCATGCATAGGCTGAAAAAAGTGAAAATCGGCAAACTGTGGGCCCAAACAAATAAAACGTTTATTAACGAATAAGAAAACAAAATAGGCCTAAATAAATTAAACAAAGTTTAAAGGTCCTATATGTAACTTTTTTTTTTATAAAATGAATCCTTTTTTATTGCCTGTGTTTGAAGGGGTTGTAATCACACATTGCAATGATCCACTTTTCGGGTTTGGCTATTACCTCTGAAGGCCAATATTCATATTTATATGTGAGGTCTCCGAGTCGGATTCCCAGCGAAATCCATCGGATGTGACGTGCATGCGCGCTCCCGAGCCTCTCTATCCTTATATACAGTCAACCATGCGATCAACGGCACTTCAGCTGACGACATGGAGTCTGATAACAGCCCAAAACACACACTCAAACACACACTGATCTGAAAAAAAAATCTGCTGAAGCTCGTCAGGCAAACCGTGAATCTGATCGACTCCGGATGAAAACGCGGATCAACATAGTAAACTCTAAACTCTAAACTCAACATACTAAACATACTAAAGTGAAATAACAAGGTAAACTACAACATTACATGAATACAAAATAATGTTCCAGGATAACATTAGTATAACATTTAGTATATAACTTATTTTATTTACTAGATCTAACGTACTGACTAATGTCGTCATCCCACTACTACCATATTGTTTACACACATTTCCAGACACGTTCAGTACAGTAATGCCACTTCCTACGATCTTACTGATACACTGAATTTGTTCAGTTTAGTTCACTAACCGTTTTCGTTATCATATTATACATTCACCGATGTTGACATTGCTGATTGTGAAAGATACACGAATAGTTAGTGAAATGGCTTATGCTATATAACATCACATGTGGGCTAAATGCAGTTTATTGTAACATTATCAAGGACGAGCACAGAGCATTAGTTCAGTCAAGCTGATAAAAGTAGGCTATTATTGTACCTGCAGTGGGAGTTTACATTAGTTTCCAGCATGTTGTGTGATGCTTTCGCCGTTGTGTTGAAAGTCTCCGTGTGGCCGGTAGTGAATGCTCACTCTTGAGATCGAGCACGAGCGCTCTTGATGCTTTCTGAAACATCACCGCTAGAGGTCGCTAAACGTTGCGTACAGCACCTTTAAATAAGATAAAATCAAATAAAAAGAGACGAATATAAAATAAAAACTTCAAAAAGGACCTTAGCCTACATAAATGACAGCACTCTAAAAAAAGTAAAACACTATAAATTGGCATTTATTAACATTAATATATATTGGCCAAAATATTGCCAAACAGGCACTTTTGCACTGCGTTTTGACACCAAATCTTCCGCCGTTATCTTGCTTTTCTGTAGGTTAATTTGACTCGTTCTCGTCTCCACACGTGCTCAATGGACTCCTGATGCTTGCTGATCTGTGACGGCACGCACTGTGCAGTTCATTTTTAATTATAATGCTCTCTTCTGAACTAAATAATTGAAAATTATTATTTTTAATTAATTCAAATAAATATTTTAGCAAAAATGAATACTTTAAAAAAAGTCAAGACATCGCGGTGTCACGGTGGGAAAGTGATGTCACCGCTGATTGGGGGTAAAACCGGTAACACCGTCTATCGCGGCAAGCCTAATACAGTGTACGGCTGCGTTGTTCATTTGAAAAATGTAATTGAGAAACGGCTTCCTGCGTAGCAACACTGGTACCACCGGCGGAGGCTTTTAAATCGCTAATTTAAAGGGTAATGTAAAATGTGAGTGTCCACACGGACATCATCACAGCAGAGCAGAGCAAGCGTTGTCGAAGGGAACGCTCTGAGAACTCGCTCGTGTGGCCGCGCGCATCTCAGTTTCGCTTTCCAGGGTTTCGCGCAGAAAATGTATTCGTTAAGGTGTGGTTTGCCGTCACACGGGGGGTTGGAGAAGCACGCCGCGCTGCTCTCTCCTTTCCACAAGCGCTTTCGTTGCTATGCAACCATGAACCGCGCTCTCCATGATGACGACGAGGACGGATCCGCAAAGGATTCATTGATTCCTAGCCCTTGCATTAGCTTTACTAGGCTACTAGATATATTTATGGAGATGAGAAATAAAAACCCGCCCTGTTCCGCTATGTTCGCTGAGGCATAGGCGAGCCCTGATTTATTATTTATTTTTTGATGACGTAGTTAAGGCGGGAAACCCTGCTTTCAAATTAGCGCCAATTCAGGGTGGATGGATTGAATGGTGAGTTCATTAGCCTATCATTAAAGAAAATCATACAACGACACACTGGACCGTTCCTGCACATCGGTCAGAGCTGAGTGTGTGTGTGAGTGAGTTCACCTGCTGAAACACTGAACAGAAAGCACTAGATCAAGAGTGTGTGAGGATCTATATGTAGATGTGTGAGTGAAGTGTGTGTTTCTGAAGGCCCGTTTGCTGGTGTGTGTTTTCTCCGGTTACTGACGCACTACTGTAACCTCATTTTCCTTGCAGGCACATTAAGGAAGTTATATTTTATTTCAATGTAAGATGTGATGCCTGTTTCGGTTTATATTTGCTCGCTGGCGCCCTCTTGTGGACACAGGAGATGATACAACGCTCTTTCCTGTAACATTATTGCTTTTAGAATTTGAATATACTTTTAAATTTGTTCATATTAAGAAAGAAATTATAATCAGCCACAGCCCTATCCCGCACACATCTGAGCTCATGAGTCCTGTGGCGCTGACTCTGATCGTGTGTGTTTGCAGGAGGTTCTTCTGGAACGAGTACCAGCGGCCGCGCCCGCTCCGACCCGACCCATCAGCACCGGCACAGCGGAGGACACTTCAGTGCTGCAGTGGGCATGGACTGCCACAACCTCTGCCCACAGGTACACACACATACACACACACTCACTCTCTCTCTCACACACACACACTCACACTCTCACACTTACTCCCTCACTCTGTCACACTCACTCACGCACACACACTCTCTCACTTTCACTCACTACACCTTTAAGGAAACTGTATTTTATTTTAAGAACAGTTTTTTCCTAAGTGAAGCCCTTTAGTCGTTTCAGTAAAGCCTGCGATGCTCGATGTGGTGTGTGTTTGCTCATTGCTCTTGTGGCGACGCAGCACTTCTGCTCTTAACATAACATGACGTATTTCCTGATAATTCTGCTAATGTTTCAGAATAGGCGTTTGGACCGTGTGCTAATGCTGCCGGTGTGTGTGTGTGTGTGTGTGTGTGTGTGTGTGTGTTCCCCAGGCGAGACAGGCGTTCGTGCCGGCGCTGGGCTGGGTCGGGGGAGACGGGCTTCAGCAGGCGTCAGGAGAGACCCACCCCGTCCAGGAGACCACCTTCCACGTGCCCCCCCACCAGCCCAAGGCCCTGCACCCCCACCCCCACCACCACCACCACCACCACCCGCCTCAGCTCGGCCAGGGCCCGGCCCGGCCCCGACCCCGCCTCTACTCCCCGTCCCACAGCGCCTCCACGCAGGACTCGCTGGAGGCCACCCACACACACCTGTCCATGACCTCGCTGTCTTCCTCCGCCTCGTCCTCCTCCACCTCCTCCTCCTCCACCGGACACCACCACTACTCCTACCAGAGCCGGCCGCTGCCGCACGCGCTGGGCTTCGGCCACGCCGGGCTGGGGGCCTTCTCCAACCCGCGGCAGGAGACGGGCGTGCCGGGCCACTCCAGCTCGGGCCCGGGCCACTACAGAGCCGAGGCCCACATGGGGCTGAGGCCGGGCCTGGAGCGCGAGGAGTCGCCCATGGCGGGCGTGTGTGTGCAGCAGAGCTCCGTCGCTAGCTCCTGACTAGCCTGAGGACGCCAGACTAGCGCCGCCGAGCCGGGCCTCGGATGGCTTCGGATGCTCGTTCACACACACACACACACACACACGCGTGCGGGAGACGGCCGCCCCCTTTTCTTCTTCATGTCGTGCGATGGTGTGCTTGGAGCAGAGCTTTCCCAGAGTGCAATGAGAGGTGGTTCTTTAATATGGCCTTATCGTTACGGACTGAAGGAAGACCGACGAGCCGGACGTTTCTCTTCGTCTTCTTCTTCTTCAAGTGACAAAAGCTTTCGTGTTTTCGGGCGGCGTGCGAACACCCTTCATTGGCGACACACACACACACACACTCGAGAACGGTGATTTGAGGCCTTTCTTACCCAGAGTTCCTCTGTGCCGCAGGACTGCCGTGTCCCTCCTCTTCTTCTTCTTCTCTCACGCTTCAGCTCATTCGCTCTGATTTGCGCATGTGTGTTTTACCCCCCCGCCCACCCGCTTCTTCTTGATTTGGCTTCACGATTATGCTGTGAATTTTACACCACTTTTTTTGTTTCTCCCTTTTGATAATTTATTGTACCAAAGGCGTTTTTTTTATAGAACATAGATGTCTGTAACCAATAATGTAGCAGTTCTGCACTTTGAAGCGAAGGTGTGTGTCTTGTCGTGTCAGTGAAGGACTGCCAGAACTGAAGTGATGACGTTTGGCCCGATCCTGGAGGCCATGGCTTAGATTCTCTCGCTCTGTGTTTCTTTCTCTTCATTTGCTCTTATCGGCGGTGTGCGTGACACGAGCTCAGGCGTCCCGTCGGTGTGTGTGTGTGTGTGTTCTGTCGGTCGGTTCGGTGGACTCGAGCTGCTCGGCTGGTCCCAGAGCAGATGGACAGTCGGAGATCTTCTCTCGGCAGCGAGTGTGTGTGTGTGTGTGTGTGTGTGTGTGTGTGAGACGGTTCTCTAGGGTTCCTGTGGTCACGGCATACGGAGGGAGTCCAAGAAACAGGCTTCAGGTGTTTACTTTGTGACCCCATTTTAATAGCTGAAATAGAATTTATGTACATATTTATATTTTTTTAATAAAGGAAGTTTAGAACTCACTACTTTTTTCCTAATGGTATTTTGAGTACATTTACGTCAACTTGGTAACATGCAGTGGAAGTTCTCTATGGTAGTCAATGGGTATCAGTGCTTCCAGGCCAAAGTAGTTGACGACGACGACGCTAGTACAAATGCAAAACTCTAGGGTTGAAACGGGACGGAGAGTAGATCTTTATACTTTAATATTGTAGACAGGGTATGGTGTGTGTTGTCGGCCGGCGCCTCATGCTCGTATACTCCAGCGTGACCTAGTATACGTAGTACAGGAACTAACTTTACGTTTAGTTGTGTTCTTATGGCACACGCTTCAATAAATGGGTCCATTTGAAAGCAGAGGTGTGTGTGTGTGTGTGTGCGTGTGTGTGTGTGCGCGTGTGTGTGTTAGACAACATCAACAGCGTTTCAGGTCACACTCTATGATTTGGAAACTCCCTGGTCCGACTCTCCCCTCGGCTTCCCGTCCGGTTCGCATCCACTCCTCGTTTGGGTCCAGGACATGTGGTGGTGGTGCTGATGATGTAAACAGAACGACGACAGACGGATATTTCGGATCTTTATCCACAGGTTGTAAGATCAGGACTTTCTGTGTAAATTAAACGTGTCACTGAGGGGCAGTAATGGACAAACCCTTTGTACTATATTCAAGCGGTCTTATGTATGATTATAAAAAAAACAAAGTTGCTCAACTTGTACTCGTGTTCTCTCGTTTCTTCATGTCCACGTCCTCCATGAGCGGCACCAGGACACTGCGAGTAAAGCCGTGTGTAGATCTGACACACACACACACACAGTCTTTACTGGCGCGTCGTCGGGTGTGTGTGTGTGTGGAGTGGGAAGCAAACACTCGGCCTGATGTTTCCCAGCAGCTCTACAGTGAGAACAGGAGATTACAGTAACAGAGATTATTCTAAAAGCCTAAATACAGTTACTGTCCAGATTAGGGTAGTTTGGATTGATTCACTTCCGTTGTAAAGATCATTAGTTATTGACGTCAGGTCTATAAATCAGGTTTGAGTGCGAGGTTCAGGCAGTCTAAAGACTGAGATGATCAAAGACGGGTTTGTGTTTTTAGTTCTTCTAATGGTCTTTCCTATTCTTTATTCCCATTAAACCCCGTAACACACACCGTGTGTGCGTTGATAAGTGGACAGCATTGCTGAGTATTTCCTCCTTAAACTGCAGTGAACCAAAGACAGTCTCAAAAACACTCGCTGGTGTTTCTGACGTCATAAACCACCTTGTAACCAATCAGATCAACGTGTGATCGTCAACCAGTGGGAGAGTGAGTGGGGGCGGGGCTCATTTCAATATTCATAGAACCGCGCATGCTAAATGAGGCGAGGGTGTCGAGTTACATTCCAGATATTTTAAGGCAGTAACAAAGAAAAAACGTTTAAATATGTAATTTTGGTGATCAAAGATGAGTTTTAAGGGATAAAATGATTGACTACAGGGGGACTTTAAAATATTTAATATCTTTATTACACATCAGTGAAGATGTTAAGCTCTTCCCGCAGGGGTTTGCTCTTCTCTCTGATCAATCCCACTCTTTATAAAGCAATTACTGATAAACTCAAGGTCCGACTGTATTCTTGAACAACCAGTCCAAACGAATGCGTACATGAGTAACATTCATTTTGAACATTATATTTTTATTATTTTTCTTTGACAGTTGAATGGCCATGGGTTTATTTTGTAAGTTTTATGGCCTATATCATGAAACCAATATTATTCTGTATTTTCATTATGGGTTAAGTGTGATTATTTGATTTTGTGAATGGAATTATTGTTTCCTAAATTGAGCAGTAAGTATTTAATGAGCACTGATGATTCATTTTGTATGACTTACTGAAGCAAAAGAAATGAGTGGAAACCCTGTGTTAAACGTCTTTTTCTTGAGGTGAGCTAATTTTACTTCATAACAAATGATATAAATTGTTATCAATAACATTAAGCGTCGTCTGTGTATGAACACTGCAGTTCTGTTCATGAACTCCTTCACACTAGCCCGGGAAAACCCAGACAACTTCCGGCAGATTTAGAGTTATATCTGAGAATGGTCTGGTTTTAACCTGGCTACCAGACATCAGACAAACATTTAAATCAGCAAGTTAGTTCAGAAACAATATAGCCAACACTTGTTTAATGCTTAATCTCGGTCCTTTTCTTTCCCAAACTATTTAAAAAACGAATAGTTTTCACCCCAAAATCAACCTGTTCTTTTCTTCTGTGGTAGGAAAAATTAGATATTTAGATTGTGGTCGATGGGGTTTAAAGAAACGGTTGAAACCTTGTTAATTGGAACAACATGGCGGAGTAAATGATCATTTTGTGAGAGAACTAATCCTTTCAGTTGTTTGTCTTTGATCACTGATAATCGTTAAACAACACTTAAAAACAGCAACTTGTGTTGAGTAAATTATTATTGTTGTCATTTTAATCAGTTAAACTAAGATACACAACATATTTTCTATTTTGTCATATTTCAATGTTCAATGACAACGACGTGTCTTCCTCCAGGTCCGCTTCCGAGCGCTGAGTGCTGCGCGTTCACCCAAAGCGGCTGTGATTGGCCCGATTTAATCCGCGCCGGGGAAAGTAACAGGTGTCACGTGACCGCGCCGTTTGATTCAGAAGCGATTCTGGCGTATTTTACATCGGAATGAAGACACTGATTAACTTTCACAGACTCCAGAGCGACACGAGCTGAGAAGTATGAATATCGCGGAGAGTGATTATTATTTAAACGTGTGTGTGCGTGTGCCGGAACCGGAAGAGGCGGAGTCTGTCTATGGCTCTGACTGACAGGTACGGAAGTGAAGATGACCGCGGCCCCGAGACTCCTCGGGAGACTCTGCTCATGCGCAGAAGGATGCTAATCACGCTGTGTTACCTGTACCTGTGGGTGCGGTTCCAGCGCTGCTACACGGCCGTGATCCGCCGGGCTCTGGAGCGGCTGAGCGGGGGCCGGAGGAGCCTGAGCTTCCGGGAGCTGGACCGAGAGCCGAGCGCCGGATCCCCGCAGAGCCCGAGCGACGCCGCGCTGTTCCTGGAGCTCGGAGACAAGGGCGTTTACATCAGCGAGCCGCAGGTGAACACAGCTGTGTGTGTGTGTGTGTGTGTGTGTGTGTGTGTGTGTGTGTGTGTGAGAGAGAGTCCCATCAGTGAACACATCTGATCAACATCTCTGATGACTCCTCTGTCACGCTGATTTATACAACACTGAATTACAAAATTAACGATCTCTAATACAGACATTCACGCTCAGCTGTACTGCTGTTAGTCAGATCAGTTCTGTTTGACGGCTGTCACTGTGCTTTGAATGAATGAACACTGACACGTGTGTGTGTGTGTGTGTGTGTGTGTTATGTTTTAGGTTTAGGGTTCGGGTTTGTGCGTGTGTGTGATGGGTAAGGTTAATATAGAAGGACAGAACATACCGTTTGTACAGTATAAAAACCCTTGCATCTATGGAGAACAGCTCTTGAGTGTGTGTGTGTGTGTGTCCGCAGGTGTGTGAGGACCTCAGTAAGTGGACTCTGCTGGGCTCTTCGCTGCTGTGTGGCCGGCGGATAGAAAGCGTGGCCTTCATCATCGAGGCGTCGTCGAGACGGAGACTTCCAGAGGCTTCACACAGCAGTCAGACTGTAGGTTCAGATCCTCCTCAGAGTGTGTGTGTGTGTGTGTGTGTGTGTGTGTGTGTGTGTGTGTGTGTGTGTGTGTATGTGTGTGTGTGTGACTATCACAGCAGTCAGACTGTAGGTTCAGATCCTCCTCAGAGTGTGTGTGTGTGTGTGTGTGTGTGTGTGACTATCACAGCAGTCAGACTGTAGGTTCAGATCCTCCACAATCACAGCCGTCACACAACACTGGGGGAACATGTACACACCAGACCGACATCATGATATTAGTTCTGGGAACTCACACACACCTCAGTCCGAGGGCCGGATAAACGTTAGTCTTTCAGTATCCCTCTCACGCCATAGGACAGCGCTAACCAATCAGAGCAATGAGCGGCATGTCATCCAAGATGTCCATGTCTTTCTTTCTTCAGTCGAAAAGAAATGAAGGTTTTTGATGAAAACATTCCAGGATTTTCTCCATATAATGGACTTCAATGGGAACCAAACGGTTCAAGGTCCAAAAGACAGTTTCAGTGCAAACTGTTCAAAGGGCTTTAAACGATTCCAGACGATGAATAAGGGTCTTATCAAGCGAAATGATCGCTCATTTAATACATAAATAACAAAGTTTAAGTTTTATAAGCTCAAATGCTCGCCTTGCTCTGTTCTGTGACACGCGTTCGTTGAATGAACCAAATGACACAATAAAAGATTTGTTCATTTTAATGAACGAGTTCGAAACTTTATTTATTTCTTAAAGTTCCTATATGTAACTTTGTTTATAAAATGAATCCTTTTTTATTGCCTGTGTTTGAAGGGGTTGTAATCACACATTGCAATGATCCACTTTTCGGGTTTGGCTATTACCTCTGAAGGCCAATATTCATATTTATATGTGAGGTCTCCGAGTCGGATTCCCAGCGAAATCCATCGGATGTGACGTGCATGCGCGCTCCCGAGCCTCTCTATCCTTATATACAGTCAACCATGCGATCAACGGCACTTCAGCTGACGACATGGAGTCTGATAACAGCCCAAAACGTCCTGCCTCCAGCACAACACACACTCAAACACACACTGATCTGGAAAAAAAATCTGCTGAAGCTCGTCAGGCAAACCGTGAATCTGATCGACTCCGGACGAAAACGCGGATCAACATCGGCAACATATTAGTAAACTCTAGTGAAATATCAAGGTAAACTACATGAAACATGACATGAATACAAAAGAATGTTCCAGGATAACAAAAAGTCGGTGCTTTAGGATGTAACTTTTATTTACTAGATCTAATTTCCAGACACGTTCAGTACAGTAATGCCACTTCCTACGATCTTACTGATACACTGAAACTGTTCAGTTTAGTTCACTAACCGTTTTCGTTATCATATTATACATTCACCGATGTTGACATTGCTGATTGTGAAAGATACACGAATAGTTAGTGAAATGTCTTATGCTATTGAGCTCTGTATATTTTCCTGCTTTTTTGTCCTTAGCCAATCACATAATGCACATATATTGTACCCCATAAACACAATCATGCAGAGGAAAAAAAAGCAGTAAAGCACCCCTTTAATGTTAAAGAGACTGTATCGTCTCCTGTGTCCACAAGAGGGTGCCAGCGAGCGTAACGAGCAAATATAAACCAAATCAGGCATCACATCTTTTATTGAAATTAAATGACATTGAAATGACAAAAATGGTCTCAAATAAATAAAATATAACTTCCTTAATGTGCCTGCAAGGAAAATGAGGTTACAGTAGTGCATCAGTAACCGGAGAAAACACACACGAACACACACCATCAAACGGGCCTTCAGAAACACACACTTTCACACACACATCTACATATAGATCCTCACACACACCAGACGCTCTTGATCTGAGCGAGTGCGGAGCGTTTTCTGTTCTTCAGTTGATGAAACACACACACACACACACACTCGGCTCTGACTGATGTGCAGGTTTGGTCAAGTGTATGGTTTTGCATTGGGGTTTTTTCATTTGATGAAAGCCGGGGTCGGGGTTCCTCACGTCACCTGACGGAGTGTGTGTCCTCGCCGCTCTGGCCTCGGGCTCCAAAACGCTCAGATGAGAACAAAACTTGAATGTGTTTAAATCCATACGTGTGTGTGTGTGTGTGTGTGTGTGTCAGGTGCTGAACTGGTCGGATTACTGTCTCCCGTTGGCCTGCAGTCCGGGTCAGCCGTACCGGGCCGTAGCCGAAGCCAGCCTGGAGAACTTCAGCCGGCTCGGCGTGGCCTTTATGGAGGATCGTCTGTGTATGGAAAACGGGCTCATTCCTGAAAAGATAGTGTGTGAGTTTCATCCCAGCAGGGGTCATCACACAGGGCTCGACGTGTGTGTCCTTCAGACGATTCATCAGTATCAGCAATATTAATCAGTGTTCAAACAGCTTTGATATATTGAAATCTGCATTTTGTCACATCGTCTCCTTTCAAAGGACATTTTCTCCCTAAAGTTTATTAAATGTATGTCTAATCTTTCATTTTAAATTCCTAAATTTGATCAATAAATTAAGTTAGAGTAATAAGACACTGTAGGGCTCTTAGCCTACGTTGGGCTGATCAAATTAAAATAAAACTGTATTAAATAATGTTATGAGATAGTTTTAAATATTTTTGAATATACAAATTTTAGAATAATTTGCAAAAAAGAGTTTTCAGAGCATTTGTGCCTGACGCACCTCCGCCAGTGTTTCAGTGGATCGGCGCTCGTAGATCGACTGGTAGAGACTATTTTTTAAAGATGGCTTCTTCCTGTATTCGCGAAGTTGACTGTGTGTATAAAATATCTTCTTATTAAACTGTTTGGACACTGACAAAGTTCTCAATGCTTCGGTTTGAATGTAGGGACCCTTATTATGCTGCCGTGTTAGTGTGGGGCTATTTTGAGCCTTGTTAGTGGTAATAACAAGCGATTTTTATTTGTCATTACTCTATTCCCCATATACTAGCGTTATACTAGCGTTATAGGCTAAACTGTTTTTAGAGATAAAACTATTTACATTCAGCAATCATGAAAACAAATCTCAGATAACGGTTGACTAGGTAACAATGTGTAATTAGACTAAAGGTTCATTTTCCGCCGGAGTTGTCCTTTAACTCTATTCATGTTTTAAAAATATTCTAACTCCACATTTTGAATTTTTATCGGCAGTGTGTTGTTAAGAGTGTCTGTGTGCGAGCTCAACAACACAACCCTGTGACCGGCAGTAATACACTTACATTTATTATCCACTATCGATCGCTACTTACAATAAATGTAACCCAATCAGAATCATTCTCTCGTTTTAGTGATTCCCTGGTTATTTTTTTGTTATTGACATTTTAATCAGGCTACTTGTCCGGTCGGGCAAATAAAATTCTCTTTTCCTCGCCCCTTAAAAAAGTCCATTTGTCCGGACGAGCACGGATGTCGAGCCCTGACACACAGCTGTACTAATCCCGTGTTTGTCCTTCTGTGTCCCAGCCGTGTCCCTCAAAGAGTCTGCGCTCACACACCTTCTGGAGAAGAGGAGCCTCCAGGCCAAACGTCTGAGCGAGCCGGTGCTGTCCACAACCAGCCGTCAGGAGGAGCCGGAGCTCCCGTCGGGTCACCGGCACATGGAGGGACACCACCTGCACCTGTCCAGCTGCCACGAGTGCCTGGAGCTGGAGAACAGCACCATCCAGTCGGTCCGGTTCGCCTCCGCCGAGAACATCCCGGACCTGCCGGTTGACGGAGTCGAGAACGTCCCAGATCTCCCAGACGAGGAGGAGAACGCTCCAGACCTGCAGGACCCCGAGAGTGTGCGGCTGAGGTCCGGCGGGAAGCCTCCTAATGTACTGGTGTTCACGGGCGGCTGTGACCTTCAGTACCGCAGGATCCGCTCGCTCCTGACGGAGGTCCTGGACCCGGAGCGCTACACCATCTACCCTCTCCGCCCGCAGCCGGCGCTGAGCGAGCCCTGGTCCGAGAACACACTCCTGCTGGTGCTCGGCACCGGCCCGCTCACGCCTCAGCTGATCCTGGTGTTCCTGGCGTTCCTGAGCCGGGGCGGGCGTGTGCTGGGCCTGTCCTGCTCCCTGTGTCCCGCTGGAGTGACCCTGAGGCCCCGGGCCCCGCCGGAGGAGCAGATCTGCAGACTGAGCTTCACCCGGGCCGACGGCACCGAGCTGCGCATGAGTGTGGTGTCCAGCGGGAGTGTGTACGAGCGTGAGGAGGGTGCGGGCGAGGTGGAGCTGTGGGGGGAGATCACGGAGCAGGACCAGCCAGAGATGGCCATCGTGCGCTTGACCCACGGGCCCGACAGCGGACAGGCCATTCTGTGTCAGGTGACCCTGCACTTCACTAATGACTGTTCGTTTTATTATTTTTTCAAATTCCATTTTTCCCATTGTAACCTGTGGAAAAGGGCTTAACTGGATGCAGAATTCACTTTTATATGGTGTTTGCATAAGAATGTGTCTTTGCAGTGTGTGTTGACAGATGTGCGTCTCCTCTTGTGTTGAGTGTGTGTTGACAGATGTGCGTCTCCTCTTGTGTTGAGTGTGTGTTGACAGATGTGCGTCTCCTCTTGTGTTCAGTGTGTGTGGACAGATGTGCGTCTCCTCTTGTGTTGAGTGTGTGTGGACAGATGTGCGTCTCCTCTTGTGTTGAGTGTGTGTTGACAGATGTGCGTCTCCTCTTGTGTTGAGTGTGTGTGGACAGATGTGCGTCTCCTCTTGTGTTGAGTGTGTGTGGACAGATGTGCGTCTCCTCTTGTGTTGTGTGTGTGTTGACAGATGTGCGTCTCCTCTTGTGTTGAGTGTGTGTGGACAGATGTGTGTCTCCTCTTGTGTTGAGTGTGTGTGGACGCAGATGTGCGTCTCCTCTTGTGTTGAGTGTGTGTGGACAGATGTGCGTCTCCTCTTGTGTTGAGTGTGTGTTGACAGATGTGCGTCTCCTCTTGTGTTGAGTGTGTGTTGACAGATGTGCGTCTCCTCTTGTGTTGAGTGTGTGTTGACAGATGTGCGTCTCCTCTTGTGTTGAGTGTGTGTGGACAGATGTGCGTCTCCTCTTGTGTTGAGTGTGTGTTGACAGATGTGCGTCTCCTCTTGTGTTGAGTGTGTGTGGACAGATGTGCGTCTCCTCTTGTGTTGAGTGTGTGTGGACAGATGTGCGTCTCCTCTTGTGTTGAGTGTGTGTTGACAGATGTGCGTCTCCTCTTGTGTTGAGTGTGTGTGGACAGATGTGTGTCTCCTCTTGTGTTGAGTGTGTGTGGACAGATGTGCGTCTCCTCTTGTGTTGAGTGTGTGTGGACAGATGTGCGTCTCCTCTTGTGTTGAGTGTGTGTTGACAGATGTGCGTCTCCTCTTGTGTTGAGTGTGTGTGGACAGATGTGCGTCTCCTCTTGTGTTGAGTGTGTGTTGACAGATGTGCGTCTCCTCTTGTGTTGAGTGTGTGTTGACAGATGTGCGTCTCCTCTTGTGTTGAGTGTGTGTGGACAGATGTGCGTCTCCTCTTGTGTTGAGTGTGTGTTGACAGATGTGCGTCTCCTCTTGTGTTGAGTGTGTGTGGACAGATGTGCGTCTCCTCTTGTGTTGAGTGTGTGTTGACAGATGTGCGTCTCCTCTTGTGTTGAGTGTGTGTGGACACAGATGTGCGTCTCCTCTTGTGTTGAGTGTGTGTGGACAGATGTGCGTCTCCTCTTGTGTTGAGTGTGTGTTGACAGATGTGCGTCTCCTCTTGTGTTGAGTGTGTGTTGACAGATGTGCGTCTCCTCTTGTGTTGAGTGTGTGTGGACACAGATGTGCGTCTCCTCTTGTGTTGAGTGTGTGTTGACAGATGTGCGTCTCCTCTTGTGTTGAGTGTGTGTTGACAGATGTGCGTCTCCTCTTGTGTTGAGTGTGTGTGGACAGATGTGCGTCTCCTCTTGTGTTGAGTGTGTGTGGACAGATGTGCGTCTCCTCTTGTGTTGAGTGTGTGTTGACAGATGTGCGTCTCCTCTTGTGTTGAGTGTGTGGACACAGATGTGCGTCTCCTCTTGTGTTGAGTGTGTGTTGACAGATGTGCGTCTCCTCTTGTGTTGAGTGTGTGTGGACAGATGTGCGTCTCCTCTTGTGTTGAGTGTGTGTGGACAGATGTGCGTCTCCTCTTGTGTTGAGTGTGTGTGGACAGATGTGCGTCTCCTCTTGTGTTGAGTGTGTGTGGACAGATGTGCGTCTCCTCTTGTGTTGAGTGTGTGTGGACAGATGTGCGTCTCCTCTTGTGTTGAGTGTGTGTTGACAGATGTGCGTCTCCTCTTGTGTTGAGTGTGTGTTGACAGATGTGCGTCTCCTCTTGTGTTGAGTGTGTGTGACAGATGTGCGTCTCCTCTTGTGTTGAGTGTGTGTGACAGATGTGCGTCTCCTCTTGTGTTGAGTGTGTGTTGACAGATGTGCGTCTCCTCTTGTGTTGAGTGTGTGTTGACAGATGTGCGTCTCCTCTTGTGTTGAGTGTGTGTGGACAGATGTGCGTCTCCTCTTGTGTTGAGTGTGTGTGGACAGATGTGCGTCTCCTCTTGTGTTGAGTGTGTGTGGACAGATGTGCGTCTCCTCTTGTGTTGAGTGTGTGTTGACAGATGTGCGTCTCCTCTTGTGTTGAGTGTGTGTGGACAGATGTGCGTCTCCTCTTGTGTTGAGTGTGTGTTGACACAGATGTGCGTCTCCTCTTGTGTTGAGTGTGTGTTGACAGATGTGCGTCTCCTCTTGTGTTGAGTGTGTGTTGACAGATGTGCGTCTCCTCTTGTGTTGAGTGTGTGTGGACAGATGTGCGTCTCCTCTTGTGTTGAGTGTGTGTGGACAGATGTGCGTCTCCTCTTGTGTTGAGTGTGTGTGGACAGATGTGCGTCTCCTCTTGTGTTGAGTGTGTGTTGACACAGATGTGCGTCTCCTCTTGTGTTGAGTGTGTGTGGACAGATGTGCGTCTCCTCTTGTGTTGAGTGTGTGTTGACAGATGTGCGTCTCCTCTTGTGTTGAGTGTGTGTGGACAGATGTGCGTCTCCTCTTGTGTTGAGTGTGTGTTGACAGATGTGCGTCTCCTCTTGTGTTGAGTGTGTGTGGACAGATGTGCGTCTCCTCTTGTGTTGAGTGTGTGTGGACAGATGTGCGTCTCCTCTTGTGTTGAGTGTGTGTGGACAGATGTGCGTCTCCTCTTGTGTTGAGTGTGTGTTGACAGATGTGCGTCTCCTCTTGTGTTGAGTGTGTGTGGACAGATGTGCGTCTCCTCTTGTGTTGAGTGTGTGGACACAGATGTGCGTCTCCTCTTGTGTTGAGTGTGTGTGGACAGATGTGCGTCTCCTCTTGTGTTGAGTGTGTGTGACAGATGTGCGTCTCCTCTTGTGTTGAGTGTGTGTGTTGACAGATGTGCGTCTCCTCTTGTGTTGAGTGTGTGTGGACACAGATGTGCGTCTCCTCTTGTGTTGAGTGTGTGTGGACAGATGTGCGTCTCCTCTTGTGTTGAGTGTGTGTGGACAGATGTGCGTCTCCTCTTGTGTTGAGTGTGTGTTGACAGATGTGCGTCTCCTCTTGTGTTGAGTGTGTGTGGACAGATGTGCGTCTCCTCTTGTGTTGAGTGTGTGTGGACACAGATGTGCGTCTCCTCTTGTGTTGAGTGTGTGTGTTGACAGATGTGCGTCTCCTCTTGTGTTGAGTGTGTGTGGACAGATGTGCGTCTCCTCTTGTGTTGAGTGTGTGTGGACAGATGTGCGTCTCCTCTTGTGTTGAGTGTGTGTTGACAGATGTGCGTCTCCTCTTGTGTTGAGTGTGTGTTGACAGATGTGCGTCTCCTCTTGTGTTGAGTGTGTGTTGACAGATGTGCGTCTCCTCTTGTGTTGAGTGTGTGTTGACAGATGTGCGTCTCCTCTTGTGTTGAGTGTGTGTTGACAGATGTGCGTCTCCTCTTGTGTTGAGTGTGTGTGGACAGATGTGCGTCTCCTCTTGTGTTGAGTGTGTGTTGACACAGATGTGCGTCTCCTCTTGTGTTGAGTGTGTGTGGACAGATGTGCGTCTCCTCTTGTGTTGAGTGTGTGTTGACAGATGTGCGTCTCCTCTTGTGTTGAGTGTGTGTTGACACAGATGTGCGTCTCCTCTTGTGTTGAGTGTGTGTTGACAGATGTGCGTCTCCTCTTGTGTTGAGTGTGTGTTGACACAGATGTGCGTCTCCTCTTGTGTTGAGTGTGTGTGGACAGATGTGCGTCTCCTCTTGTGTTGAGTGTGTGTGGACAGATGTGCGTCTCCTCTTGTGTTGAGTGTGTGTTGACAGATGTGCGTCTCCTCTTGTGTTGAGTGTGTGTTGACAGATGTGCGTCTCCTCTTGTGTTGAGTGTGTGTGGACAGATGTGCGTCTCCTCTTGTGTTGAGTGTGTGTGGACAGATGTGCGTCTCCTCTTGTGTTGAGTGTGTGTTGACAGATGTGCGTCTCCTCTTGTGTTGAGTGTGTGTTGACAGATGTGCGTCTCCTCTTGTGTTGAGTGTGTGTTGACACAGATGTGCGTCTCCTCTTGTGTTGAGTGTGTGTTGACAGATGTGCGTCTCCTCTTGTGTTGAGTGTGTGTTGACACAGATGTGCGTCTCCTCTTGTGTTGAGTGTGTGTGGACAGATGTGCGTCTCCTCTTGTGTTGAGTGTGTGTGGACAGATGTGCGTCTCCTCTTGTGTTGAGTGTGTGTGGACACAGATGTGCGTCTCCTCTTGTGTTGAGTGTGTGTTGACAGATGTGCGTCTCCTCTTGTGTTGAGTGTGTGTGGACAGATGTGCGTCTCCTCTTGTGTTGAGTGTGTGTGGACACAGATGTGCGTCTCCTCTTGTGTTGAGTGTGTGTGGACAGATGTGCGTCTCCTCTTGTGTTGAGTGTGTGTTGACAGATGTGCGTCTCCTCTTGTGTTGAGTGTGTGTTGACAGATGTGCGTCTCCTCTTGTGTTGAGTGTGTGTGGACAGATGTGCGTCTCCTCTTGTGTTGAGTGTGTGTTGACAGATGTGCGTCTCCTCTTGTGTTGAGTGTGTGTGGACACAGATGTGCGTCTCCTCTTGTGTTGAGTGTGTGTGGACAGATGTGCGTCTCCTCTTGTGTTGAGTGTGTGTGGACACAGATGTGCGTCTCCTCTTGTGTTGAGTGTGTGTGGACAGATGTGCGTCTCCTCTTGTGTTGAGTGTGTGTTGACAGATGTGCGTCTCCTCTTGTGTTGAGTGTGTGTTGACAGATGTGCGTCTCCTCTTGTGTTGAGTGTGTGTGGACACAGATGTGCGTCTCCTCTTGTGTTGAGTGTGTGTTGACAGATGTGCGTCTCCTCTTGTGTTGAGTGTGTGTGACACAG